CCAAATCCTGCTGGAGATTGGTACCGAGTGACTTCACGAAGGAAATGCTGTGAAGAATCAACAAGGATAGCTTAAGATTCCTGCAAAAAATGCCATGTAATGAGCAAGAGCCCCTGAGTTTTTTACCCTTCTGTCAAGTCCCATGGAAAGAAAACCCGAGGACACGATGAGCTGGTTCTCCAGCGACATGGCACACGTGGTGTCTGCAAAACACCTCCACTGCAGAAATACTGATCTCTGACAGTCCTCTAACTGCTCGTGGCTTTGCTGCAAACCTTAAAAAAAGGTTGTACTGAAGAAGGCAACACCTCTCCAGCGTGACCAGTGACAGATACCTGCATGTCAATAGGGTAGATGAAATTTTTGCATCGAAAGTTGTTTCCCTTTTCATAACTCCCCAACAGCAGATGTTTCTTTTGCCCTGTCAGGAACAGGTGGGCAGAGGTCTGCAGGACAATCCAGGCTTTGCTTGCCTCTGTCTGGTTGGCCATTGCAAAGGGGTGACCTTGAGCCTTGCTGTGTGAAGGGAGTTCAGTGTATAATTGAGCACTGAGCCCAAATCCACGAAAAACAACAACAGTAACAGCAGAACCCCAAGGCAGACATTACCCAACTTCAGTGTGGAGCAGAGTGTCCTGTCCAGTGTATCATCCTGCCTCCTTCCTCATACCTCTCTGTAAACACCGTTTACGTGTGGGTTTATACAATCCATGTGTTCCCTGCAGTTCTGCGATCCCTTCACTTGTTCCACCCACTGGACTAGTTGTAACAGGCACTAAATTGTGGGGGTTTTGTTGCTTGCTTAGTTTATACACCTGCAATTTCCTGGTTTATATGTCCAGAGGTTTTAGTCTTTAATTTAATATTATTCATAGATTTTATTGAGTATTAGTTCACTTTGTAAAGCACCTTAATGGGCGATGTCTGTTTAATTATATGTGGCAAAACCTATAGAAACAAAGGAAAACTGACCCAATTTGTTACAGCTGGTTTACAAAGATTCCCTGAGGTGACTGAGCATTACTTTTCCTTTTTATTGTACTTCACACATTTTCAAACTCGTGTCAGTTCAGTTCTCATCTAACCCCTCCCTCTGAAGCAGCCTCAGCATGGCTGCCCCTCCTCTCTGCAGCCCCAAACCCAGTTGTCTGAGGCAGGAGGAAGGAGACTGACTCAGTTCTGTGGGTTGTTTTTTCCTTGCTGCTACTGGAAACGTGCAAAATGCTGACCACATTTGTTGTGGAGGTGACCAAGAAGCATTTTTCTACAAGTAAACCACAGTGAAATGTCTCTGGATTGGTGAAGGTACCCCCTTGATGCAGCAAAAGCTGCCACAGGCACTGAGATGTCGTGTGCCCTTGTGCAGGTGTTCAGCACAGGCTGGCTGGGTGGTGGGTGAGGTGCAGCTCTGGTTTGTATTGCTGGAATCTGTTTGAGCATCAGCTCCATTAATTAAACAGAATGGCCCTGCTCCAGGCCCCGGTGGACAAGCATCCACATGGCAACTGTGAGCCTTGTCAGCAGCAAGAGATTAAGGAATTAATTGGCAGGGTTAATCTTTATGTCAGGATTGGAAATGAATTGTTAATTTGTTTGGATGAGTGTAAAGTCCTCTCGCAGCGATGGCAGGTGGGATCACATGAGGGAAAGCCTTGAAGCTGCCCCTCCTGGGGACCTTTCTTCTTCACACCTCTGTGATCAGACATCTCCAGCTCTTTGCCCTGAAGTGTGAGGCTCCCAGGCAGGGCTGGAGGAGCTCCTTGTGTCACCCCCATCCTGGCAGGTGACAGCACAGCTGCTGCAGCCCCTGATGTGGGAGAAGGTCTGGCTGCAGCTTGGGAGGGCCCCTTTGAATTCCAGCCTTTCTGATCTTGCTGCCTGTGCATGGCAGGTACTGGGTGAGGCCAACCTGCTCCAGGATCTGAGTGAGGGAGAGACGTGCTCACACCAAAATGCCACTTTTGGGGCACAGTGTGCAAAACTTGATCAGTCTGTGTGGACACTAAACCCTCTCAGACACTTCTCTTCCAGGACACTGTAGAAAGTCTGTCAGGTCAGTCAATGCTTTTCCCTTTCTGCTCCCATTTTACACTCAGGACAGCAGAGTATTTCCTTTAGTATCTAATTTCTTACGGCTACTGAATTGGTCACATCACATTAAGACATGGGAGAAAAGCACTTCAGGCCTTAAATTATTTAGATGAAATTGTGACTTTTGTCACTTGTGCTCTCTTTTGTGCATTGGTTAGTCTAATTAGTTCAGCAATAAGAATCACTTTCTCCTCCTGCTGGGGTCTGATATGTTGTGACCAACACAACCTGATTCTAGACATGACATCGAAGAGGACTGGCCTATACAGAGACCTGGAATCTTTCTGGGTGTGCAACAATCCTGTTTAAGACCTCACAGTCGAAATCCTGCTTCTGTTCTCACCTCTATCAATGCCCAGGGCCTCCTCATTTATGGGGAAGCTGATGCTGTTCCTAAGTGACGTAAAAAAACGAGCTTTTCATTGCCAAAATTGGCTGGGTTTAGCCTACTTGCTCCAACTTTCACCCTTTCTTTCATTTGTCTCCTCAACGTACAGGCAGCCAGGTGGCTGAATGTCAGCCAAAACTAAGAAGGATCTCTTTTCTTTTGAAGGGATGGGTGTTTGGAGATTTATCAGCAGCACACTTGAATCTGCCCTGTGTAGCTTAGAAGGCCCACAGCATGTTGCATGAGCAGCTACTCCAGTGAGCTCCCACCTGAATTGCCATTTTCTATTCCACATAAAACCACCCTTCACAGTTTTTCGACATTAAATTATTATTAGTCACTTGTCCTAAAAGGTCAGTGATGCAGTGATATTCTAACAGAGTTTTTCTGTACTGTCATTTCCTATTAATTGCTTAGAAATAATGACAACATAATTTAGAACAAGACTGTCACCTTGTCTATGCCATATATAAAATGTTAATACTAAAAGCGGACTGGGGTTCATCCTAGACCTAATTAGTTCTTTGGAGAATTTACTTTGTGCAGCAGCCTGGACTGTCCATATTGATGTTAACATATTATATAATCAGCTTTGGAACAGGCAGCAGTCTGAAGGCCAGGTTCTGTGTCCCTGTGCTAAGTCACTACCCTGAGGAGAGCACTGAAAATCAGCAGAATTTGACTGGAAAATAAGAGCACAAATGCCTGGGTTTTCTAAGGAGTTGCAGAACAATTGATTATCTCCAAATCAACATTGTTTGTAAACTGCTCTTCCAACATGTTTTCATTGCTATATATATAGCAGAGATTTTACAAAATGAGTTAGATGTTCCCTTTTTCTGTCCAAAGTGGGTGGTGAAGTCATGGAACATGCTATTTTGGTAATTTGGAGCATGCCCCAGGAGCTGATTAAATGATCTCTCTTGCTCTGTATGTAAACTGTGCATTTCTATGCAAGCACCAAAAGGGTCAGAGCTGCAAACATGAGCCTGCAGGATCTGCTCTATCTCTGCCTGGCTTTTTACTACCTGTTTATAAACATCAAACATATTTTTATAGACGATTACAGCTCGTCCACTGAAATACTCCCCTATAAAAGCAAACAGTGGATGAAGTGGAATTGCTACTGTGAACTTAATGGTAAGACATTTAACTATTATTTAGTGAGAGAGCTTTTTAAAAAAATCCAAGACCAATATTTGAGGTTTTGAATTTTCCTTTGCATGAATCATGTCTCCTCTGCTGGTTCTGGTGCTTGAATAGGCCCAAGAAATTCCTCCCTGGCACAGATGGCCCAGAGCAGCTGTGGCTGCCCCTGGATCCCTGGAAGTGTCCAAGGTCAGGCTGGACAGGCTTGGAGCAACGTGGGATAGTGGAAGGTGTCCCTGTCCATGGCAGGGGGTGACACTGGCTTTAAGGTCTTTCAAACCAAACTATTCTGCAATTCCAGGGGTGGGATGGCGTGGCAAGCACATTTCTCTCCCTCTTAGGATTTTTCATAAAGGTGCACAGAGAGAAATAAAAGAGAAAACAATTTCTATTTCTGCTCCTTGTTTTTCCTATGTGGAATGTGTTTGGAGAATTGTTTCCCTGGGGTGATTGCTTGATTGGATTCTGGTGAGGATTGTTTGAGCCTGATGGCCAATCCAACCCACCCAGGGCTGGACTCTCAAGAAAGGGTCACTAGTTGTATTAAGAGTTAAAGATAAGAGTCAGAAAAAGTAGTATGTAGTTTTAGTATCCTCCTTTTATATATATTATTAATATATTAATATATTTTAGCATAGTTACAATAAAGAAATAATTCAGCCTTCTGAATTAAGTCAAACATCGTAATTTCTTCCCATTAAGTTCACCTACAATAGGTGGATGGGCTTTACAATAGGATAGGATGGGCTTTAAGGTCCCTTTCAATAGGTTCCAAACTATTCTGTGATTCCATGATCCTGAACAGCATCTTCACCTCGACTTCCCATGGAGAAATTTGCCATCTTCCCTCAGAAATAGAAACGGGAAGAAGAAATCAACTGTTGTTTGTTTGTTCCTCAAACCCTTGGGAGGCAGGACCCTGATGGAGATTTATCATCCCACTCCTGGCTCAGGGGAGCAGTGGGGCAGGTACACTTTGTCACCTTGTTCCCCACAGCAGCAGGTTGTCTGCTTCAGTCACTCTGCACTCTGGTTCTAAGGTTGTTCTGATGTATTTATCTTTACTTTGTTGCTCTAATCTTGTCTAAAGGAAACAAAATATCCTCAAAGATTAATATGTGAGATGAAAGATCCAATTAGAGCTCCCATCCTTCAATCCTTACAGGTAAGAGTCCCTGTTACATAATAACTACAGGTGGGAGTAGGCCCTGTTTGATCCATTTGTTCCAGATCTTGGTTATGAATAGTTCAGGGAACTAAAACAGTGACACATGAAGGCATAATTCCCAGATCAGAGAAGAATTAGAGATCTGTAGGGTAGAATACAGGTATTTTTTGACATAGCACCAAACCAGAGATGAACAGCAGAATGTAGATTTGACACTTTTATTAACAAAGAACCCATGGGGCTCATTCATTAGTACAAAATACAATCATGTTCCTGTATGTTAAACAGCTTTTTTTATTTTGTCTCTTTTAAACTGTTTCACAGTTATCAAAACAAAGCCCCTGCATATTGAACTTATTATTGTGCAAACAGTAATTATTTTTAAGGATCAATTTCTGCACTAAGCCAAGTGCCAGAGAGCAGAACTTAATCTTGTTTTCACCCCTCCTTTGAAGGGCCATGTGTGCTTCCTAAGAAACACATAATAGTCGACTTTTTTGCAGCAAACAATCTAAGGCCACAGTTTATCTGCAAAGAATAGAAAACAACTCAAAGATTTTAGGAAAAAAAAAAAAAAAGCACACCTTTACCCTTCATACTGCTGTTTGCTTGACCATTAGTATACCAGGTAGCACACATCACCTATCATGTATTACAGTCCAAAAAAGCACCTAATGTTCTTTAAGCTAATATTTTAAATTATTACCATGCAAGTTATTACAAGACCAAATTACTTTTCAAGTAACTATAATGGTATCTGTTTAAGGAAAAGATGCTTGTTCCCTTTCCAGATGATGTAAATGAAAATCCTGCATTGATTGTATGGGCAGGCCTTCACTTGAATAAATAAAAAGGCATGAGAGCTACACCTTGAGACTTAAATAATCATTTTTAGAATGTCCTTTCTAAATCATGCACTCAAATTTTGGTTAAAGCTGCATTTGCTGTAGAAGACAATACTAAATGTTGCAAATGAAAGGAGTAACTGCAGTTTAGAAATGTGAATCTCCAGCAGTCTGTCTTTCACACTGATGCAAAAGGGATTTGAGGTGAAGTGCTAGAAATTAGACAATGTAAGGGAAGTAAAACTAAAAGGAGACTAAATACATGCATGTGTATGCCTGTAGAAAAATCCCTGCTTCTTAAGTGAAGAGACAGATTTCATAAAAAACATTTAGACTTTGTTTAAACTGCAGTTATTGATGGAATGAATTGCTATTTTTGTAGTTATCAGAAAATACACTGTTCTACCACATGAAGCACCGGGGTTTAACCCCAAACCCTTCTGTAAGACATATGGAGTATTTCTAGGAGTCCAAAATCCCCTGTATTTCAAAGACAGGACTGTAAACATGCATGTTGACAATGCTGTTTTCTGCTCCTGTAAGTGATCTGTTGGTGATTGTTTACTGATCCCAATTGATGGCTGGCAGGAAGCAAACACTCTACTTTTAAATGAAGGCAGCAGAAGGGCAAGTAAATGCTGTGCCTTCACTCTTAGCAGCAACAAACTCTCACTGTTCTAAATGACCTGAGGAAGAAAACATTAAAATATTGCACCAAAACAAAATGAAACAGCAAAAACAAACAAGGAAACACACCAACATATATAGTATGGATAGCAATTGACCAGTGCAGCCCCTGACAATAGATCTTTAGACAAAAATGCAGGAGTAATGAAAAGCTTTGTGCCATTACCAGAGGACTTTGTTCCCCTGATGTCTGCTTTCACTTCAGTTATAAGCTATGTCTATTCTGGGTATATTTACACCTCTCCCTACACCTCATATCTCATTCACTAACCACAGAAACCATTTAGGGTCCCTTTTAGAACCTTGAAGTATACTGGAGCTTTAACAAGACTTTTTTTGGTCTCAAATCTGACCATAAGTAAATATCCAAAACAGAGGTAGGCTTATAAAGGCTTCTGAATAAATAAATATTGTCCATTTTGCTAAGTATACCTGCTGCTGGCAGAAGGTTTCTCCCTTGCCAAGCTTCCCCTTATCATGCTATCCATAGGCTTAAGATGCAGAAGAAGAACTCACAGTAGAAGAGGTTAGAGTAATTCCCTTAAGAAATCCCTTGAAAGAAAGCATAGTGCATAAGCTCGTCTCAAAGTTCAGTTTGTTCCACACTTGTGTCTTGCATTCAGGAAATGGTTGCCTTTGTAATATTGAGTAACAGCCATTCTGTCATCCACGGCGGGTGTCCTCAGGATCATGATGAATGAGGAAATAGTACCACTTGGCAGTTGTGAGAAGGGCAGGCTCCCATCAAATATGGAGTTAAGAGTTCGCTCTGTGTTGCAGTAGTGCCCCTCTTTTGGATGCAGACAGTGCAAAGCTGAAGCCCCTTGAACACTGGAATCTTTTGGAAATGTTTTCTCACCCCACATTCTGTTCTACTACAGGAGCTCTCGACGTCACTATGTACATTCTTCCAGAGCGTTGCAAACAAAACATAAATTCTTTTCTCCTCAGAAGATCCACACATCTCCTCCTCCTCGTACTTTGTGTAGTGTATCCACTTTTTGGAAAACATTCAGTATTTCATTGATGCATTTTCGTTTCAGTATTTTCAGGTACTTCTCAAGTATCCCAAGCTCAGCTGCTCCTGTTATCCTCTGTGCAGACTAATCCAGCAGGTTCTCTTTTATCACCAAACGTGCTCATACCTCCTTCTCCATTTTCCTTTGCCTTTCTCGTACACAGACTGAAGTTTTGAAAAAGAAAACTGTTTCCTTTTTAGCTGCACTACCAGCTTAAGCAGCAGAAAGATTAAGACATTCATCACAATGATGCTCATTACAAATCCTCAGAGCATGAATGAAACAGGCTGAACTTCTTCTACATCAGTTGGATGTGGATCAATCTAAGGAGAGAAGAAAGACAACAGTTACTGCCTGCAATTCCTGCATTTAGGTATGTTTGGGTTTTTTTTGCCATATGACAATAAAAACACCACCTGCTATTTGTTTTCTTACCTCTGAATAAAGAGGTGGAGGCTGAAACCGGAACTCTTGTATGTAAGCAAAGACAGGACAACACAACTGTTCCTCACAGTCAATGGGAGGTGGATAAGCAGGAACATGTCTGGAAAACTCTTCCTCAGACACTACATCAGCATAATTTGGTGGTGCTGAAACACAAGAAATGTTTCCGTCATATTGCAAACTACTCACTCACAGCAAGAACATTACAGTATATCCAGGACCACAAAAACTTTATTGGAAGTGCACTGAACTCAGAAATACTGTAACTAAAATTATTTTTTCAGTAAACTCGGGTGATTCAGCAGGAATACAGAGAGTGCTGTGCTTTTACGACAACTCCAGCAGCAAACCTGTGTTGTATCAAGATATATTCAGTAATGAGTAGAATATTCCCACCATCAGAAGTTAGTTGTTTCAGTCAGATGGGGTACAGAGAGACTTCAGGAAGGCTGGAGTTGGGGTAACCTCACCAATTGTTTTGGATCTCAGTTTAAGAACTTTGAGAGTCATATTTCCATTGTCTACAGGGATGTAGACAATGTAGACATCCCTGGCAGTGCCCTCAAATTGGCACTGCACCCATCTGCTGCAGACAGTGCTGTGCTGGATTAGAGACAGTTCAATATGTATTTATTACCTTCAGGGTGTTCAGGCATGGTCAATGCCAGCCAACTCATATCCATACTAAACTGGCTGGTAATGCTGGAGTTTCTGCTTGAAAATCCAATACATGGAATAGTGCCAATCACCACAGGCATTTCAATCATCAATTTCTTAGCACCAGGAATATGGATATACACCTATGTGACAACCCCCAAACAGAAGAAAAAAACATCATGAGACCCCATTGAATGCTGCTCTTAAAAGCTGCCCTACTCTCTACACTGCAAATTTAAAACTTAAGAGCTTTGTCATCCCAAATATGCTTAGCTAACACCCTGGCAGCTTTCCTTATTTTACAGCAGTTTCCTTCTTTCCGTAACTTGTCTCTAAGTGACATTAAAAAATAAAAACCATCCTGACAAACATAATGACAGACTTGACTTTCAGGCTTATCTTCCCATTTCTGGAAAGAATCACTTGGGGACCCCATTCAGCTTGAAATGCTCTCCCAAAACAATCCCTGCATGTCTGAAACCAAGCTGCTTCTTCCTCAGAAACATTTCTCCCTTTTCCACATTATTCTCATCTTTCCATCTCAGAATCTCTTTCTGACCTTCAGTCTCTCACGTATGTGGTCGATGATATTTATTTTTCATAGAGTCACAGAATGGCATGGGCTAGAAGGGATCTTAAAGATCATCTAGTTCTAACCCTCCACCACGGGCTAGGACACCTTTCTCTAGATTTGTATTTATTGTAGTTCCCAAGTCAAAAACCTAACAGCTACTCAGTAAATTCTTCTGTTCCTAATTGAGTGCAAATCTAAAGTTTGTACATTTGAAAACCCAATACTTACAGCTAATGAATATTCTACTCTAATAATGCAGCAGTCAAGTATAGATGGGGATACAGGTGGGATTTTCAGAGTTTTCCCATTCCAGGTATCTGTACTCCCAGAGGCAATGTGGTTTCCTCGGACATTGGCAACCATCTGACGGAAGGTTTTTGTCTTCCCACTGGCCAGGTAAGTTTGTGTTTGGAAAATGGCAGCTTTTGGAACAATCAAACGAGAAGAGCAGTTCTCAATTTCTGCATAGATTGGGATGGCTTCTCCTTAGAAACAGAAAAAGTCCAATGAATAATTGGTATTTACCAACTTTCCTCTGGGAGTATCAAAGCATGTTACACAGCACGTACATCATCTGCACTGTTATGAGAACAATACTTGCTAAGTTTCCTCAAGCCAGTTTATTTTTTTCAGAGTGGTATCCAGGCAAAATTATAGCCACCTACTATGTTTTACACATAAACAATGATTCATTTTGAAACATTAAGCATAATATGAACAAGCTATAAAAGCTTTATTTGCAAATTACGCCCCAATCTTCCTTTTATATAGTACTAAATGAATTTCAGGATGTTTTATTTTCTCAATGTATCTATGTTATCAAGATGAAGAAGAAGCTGCTAAAGCTCGTTCTTACCAAAGTGTAAATCTACAAAAATAGGATGTAAAAACCTAATTACATCCCAGTTAAGTATTTTATCCCAGATAAAAACACTTTGTTTTTCTCTACACACAAATGTACATGGATTTCCCAAAAGATTAACAGGACTTCCTTTCAATTTATATTCCCATGGGGAAAGATAAGATTATTTTTTAAAAAATCAAATTCATATGGATCTTAATTTACTTCTATTGAAGAGAACTATTTTTTGAACTACAAAGTGTTGGCTTCACTAAGATTAAAAAAAAACCCCACACCTATTAGGTGCTTAGTATTCATATTTTTAAGATAACTACTCTTACCATTACAGTATCCCTTCCTCTCAATTTTGGCACTGAGAGACACTGGCCCAGAGGTGAAAAACCAACAGCCAACCATCTTCTCCTGACTTCTTAGAACAGGTGTCTATAAAATATAGAGTATTTTTCATTTTATGGGATAAAGCTCTCAATCACTTGCACTTTAGTGTTATGCATATCAGTCATTGCAACCCAGCTCTAAAATCCACGTGATCTGAATCCCTGAACTGCTCAGTGCAACTGTAGTTTTTGCCACCACGTGAAATGAAACCAAGGTTTGGCAATCTGAACATTTATCTTTTTAAATTTCAGTCTGTATTTAGACTGAGATTTAAATACAGGCCAGTGTGTCTTCAAAACAAACTTTTTAAAGGTCTCATGAAATACTGTGGTGTTTATCTCCATTTTTCTCAGTGCAGAAGAAGGCAGAATTAATTTTATCTGCAAACAACTAATAGTTAAACAGGTAATTTTTTTTTACTTTTGTATCTTTAAGAAAGGATAAAAATATGTAGACACTGGGCTAAGGGGATGCACCTTCATTACTTGCAAGCCACAAAACCCTCCCAAAAATGTAGAGGCATGACAAAAACCATCTTAATTATTCAAGGACTGTCACACTGATGACATTTACACTGCCTGTAACGTTTTCATTAGAATAAACTCACAAGCACACATGTCAAGCATCCAAGCCAGGATCAAAGCTACTCAAAATGGTTTACTGGGAAGTGACATTCAGTCAATACAGTAATACAAATTGCTTTTGTATTTTGTTTATTAGAATGAAAAAAGCCCTGTTGTTTTGCTCTTTTGGTGGTAGCCTTGGAATCCATTAAGATTGGCACTGCCTTCCTGATGTGTCCCACAGGCCTCCTCTGTAAATAACCTGTGGTCTGCTTTGTCCTTACAGAACATGGCTATGATGCCTTCAAACTCCTGAATAGAAATTCTGCTTACAGATGTCACTGCCAAAATACCCTAAGTTCTCTCTAGAATGGATTAAAATGTAAGCATGTAATGAGGGGGGGAAAAAAAGCCTGCTCAAAACAGCTCTTTTCTATGTTCACGTCATGATGTTAAAATTATCCTACCATTTTAAATAAAACAGAAATTACTCATTCATATTTAAATGAATAACCATTTAGATCCAGTTGCTATCATGAAAGTGCAAGGTATAATTTTATATTATTTTCATAATATGGGTTGAGATAAAAGAATCCAGCTCATTAGCTTCCATCTTGCCTATTTACTCATTACTTAATGCCTGATCTTTCTTATTACTCTACAGTATTTCCAGTGATTATTAAAAACTCAATGCTTTAATGTGGCCAAATCTGTCATAGGGAAATAACTGAAAGGATCTCTGGAGCAGCTGCTGCACACACTTCATGTTAGAAAACGACATGCAAAATGCAGGGATACGTAACATAATGGCCAGAGCCTAAATGACAGGCTGGGCATGATTAATACTCTTCTCTAATTACTGCTCCTCAACCTACTATTATTGTAGAGTTTAGGACACTGCAGCCCTGTGAATGTAGTTGCTCTGGTAAGAGTAACTACTCTGCACACATACATTACTATTATTAAGCCTTATTTATGCATCTGAAGCCTGCCTAACTTTTTGGCAGGAGCATCTCTGCCAGCAGGGATGTAATCAATGGTATTAAAAAAGCCACTCTGTTTGCTATTCACCCAACCTAAGATAATCTATTTATAGAGAAAAGCTTAGGGAGCTTATATGCTTTCAGAAGTCAGAAAATGATGCTCTGCAATAACATGGGAAGGGTTATGGCTGGATGGGAATGCTGCTTGGAAATGGTTTATTTGCAGCTGGTTTTACAGGGGGGAGGAGGAGTGGCGGACCCTCTTACCAAGAGAGCTGGTGAGTTGACATCGATATGGCTGATGATCTGCAGCTCTGTCTGCACACTCTGGTCCGGCACAGCAGGCCTCTCCAGAACTGCTTTCACGTAGTACTGGATACTGCCATACTTCCCAGTAAAAGAGGTCACCAGAGGTCTGCAACAAGCAGTCATAAAACCATTACCTTCAATTAATAATTCAGCTCCAAACATTAACACTTCCTGCACACATCAACATTTCCCAATTTACAGCTTGTACTTTTAGGGCCTTGGGGAAGAAGCTGAAGCAAGCAAGGCCTGTCTGCACAGTGCTTGATTAAGACAAACATATAAAGCTGATACTAAAAAAAACACAAGTCAAACTACATTAAGTCAATGTTCTCCTACAAGCAGCATCCAGCACAATCCCTTCAGGTTGGATTATTGAACTTACTCTTGAGGGAGCTGAAAGCTGAACGGAAATTCGTGTCTTCCATCTAGAAGAATTAAGTTTTCCTCACCTGTGGGATAAGAATGAATAGTATGTTTTAGTTATTCCAGAAATAGAACAAAGCAGACACTTTTATAAATTATTTATGTATGAAAACACCCAGATGCAAGAAGTTTTTATTGATCCCAGTGGGTTCTGGACTGTGGCCCACACTTTATTTATGCTGTGATGTGATTTCAATGAAAAACAAAAATCAAGGAAACATGGGAGACCTTGAGATTCAGCTCAGGACTCTGGCCAATTTCTAATCCAAAATGGCTTCTGCAAAGCATAAAGTAAGTTTATTTTCAGCATGACAGCAATTAATCTACTTTTCCAATTAACAAATCAACTTTTGTGCCGAAAAAAATTGCAATTTAAGGTCAGCATGATGAAATACTATAAATACATGAGCTCCCAATTTATTCATATAGGGCCTACTGTTACACAATTTACAAGGCCTAAATCTCCTTTCCCTACAGCTCATCCTGAGCTGCGTTTCACCCGTACAGAACGAAATGTCGTTGTTCTGCCTTGAATTATTTTTTTCCCCGCTGCCATAGTGCTGCAGTGTCTGAGCGACAGCGAGTTCCCCTGCCTCTCCTTAATCCACTGGATGAGCCTGGCTGCTTCCAGGGTCTTCCACAGCAGCTTCCCGGAGCTGCTTGTGCCGCACCCCCAGCGCGGAGGGATGGACGCACGGAACGCACACAGCGCAGGGAACCGCGCTGCGGATTTTTATTTATTTTATTTTATCTTATTTTATTCCGGTCCCGCTCGGCGTTTGTCAGCCCCCACAGAGGGAATCGCGATGAGGCAGCGATCCTCCGCGGGCACACGGCAGCGCTGCCCTGCCGGTGCCCCGCCACCCGCGGCCGTGCCCGTTCCTTCGGACCCCGCTGCCGCTCCCACCCGGAGCGTTCCCGCTCCGCCTCCCCCTCGCTGCCTTCCCGCAGCGCGGCTCCCGCACCGCCGCGGCTGCGGCAGGGCCGGGCCCGCGCCCCGCTCACCTTCGGGCGGGTCCCGCAGGAGGCTCTGCCGGATGTCCAGGTACCGCACCTCCGCCTCCCGCCGCGGCCCCGGGCCCGGCGCCCGCACCGCCACCCCCCATGTGCCCGCCCCGGGCACCGCGCCCGGGCTCTCGCTCCAAGCGACGCGCGCCCGGCCCGCGGCCTCCAGGCGCAGCCCGCGGAGCGGCAGCGGCCCCGCCAGCTCCAGCAGCACCTGCCCGGACACCGTGTCCCCGCTGCAGTAACCGCCGCCTCCGCCGCGCCGGGCCTCGTCCTCCAGCACCAGGGCCAGCGTCTTCACCGCGCCGCCGGCCCCGGGGCCCGGCCCGGCCGCCGCCATCGCTCCCCGGCCGCGGGGGAACCGCGCCCGCCCTCGCCGAGCGCTTTAAACGCGCCCGTCTCCGCCTGCGCCCGCGGCGCCGCGTCCCGCCCCCGCGCGCCGCCCATTGGCCGCGCCGCGGCCCCGCGCGCCGCCATTCGCCGCGGGCCGCCCCTGCGCCCCCGCCTCATTGGTACGCGGCGGGCGCACGCCCGGAGTGCGTCACGCTGCGTGATCGCCGCGCCGGGGCCAATCGGGCGCGGGCAGGTGCGCGTGGACAGCGCGGCGATTGGTCGGGTGGCGGCAGGGCCCCGGCGCGCCGGCCAATGGCGCGGCGCGGCCACCACGTGCACAGCCTGTGGGTAAACAGGGAGCGGGGGCGGGGCCGGGGCGGGGCTCTCGCCCCTCAGCCCTTCACGCCCCACCGTGACGGGCCCCGGGCGGCGGCGGCTCGGGAGGTGTGTGCCTCGCTTCGGCACCTCCTCTGGTCACTGCCGGGGGAAAGCCGTGTGCCCTCGGTGACCCCGCGCTGAGGGGAAATCGTGTCTCTCGGTGTCCTCCGGGTGCTGCCGTGGGAGAGAGGGAGGCAGCGCGGCGCTCTGGGTCGGTCTCAGCCTCGCCCGCTGGCAGCCGGGCTGGCTGGGATGTTAAATTCGGAAAAGCGATGGTGGTGCTGCTAAATTCAGAAAAGTGGTGCTGCTGTTCCCCCCCACGCTTTGCCTGCAGCTTACCTACCCCTTTTCACCCCACGGAAGCGCAGGAGCTCAAGGGATTTAGCTCTAAATAAACCTTCCTGGACAGTGTGGAAACCCTCGTGCCCACACAAATACTGTGTTTCTGCACATTATAAAGCAAAAAGCTCCCTGGTTCAACAACTTGCTCTTACAGCCCCGCTTGGTACCTGGGCAGCGAAATGGGTACACCCCACTGTGTGCTGTCCCACCTGAGCACATCATCCATGGGTGACACTTGGGAGATAGAATAAAGAATAAATGCAAAGTTTTGCTGTTATGTTTAGGAGCAGAAGCTTAGGAAACCCCTGCAGACAGTGGAAGAGCGCTGAGTATGTCCGAGTCGCTGGCTGGAGGTGAGTATGTCCAAGTCGCTCTCCTCCAGCCAACCCAAGCCCTGCTGCAAACCAAAATACTTCATTTCTGCTGGACACACGCTGCAATTATTGCTGTTCTTGGCCTTGTGTTGTTTTACAGTGGCCCAGGCTGACAGCAGAGCATCTCCCAGGAGGTGTGTGAGGTGGGTGATCTGCCGGCTTTTCCACGAGTGACCGAGGAGTCATTTCCTGCTCCGTCACCTGTCACCTGCCCGCTCGAAGCTTCTGACAGCTGCATCTTCCTGCATTCCTCCATCCCTCTGGGGCGCTGCAAAACACCGGCCTGGTGTTTCCCAGCTGACTCAGTTAATTACTGAAATTAGCAAAACTTGTCTTCAGCCCTTGGCTTTTAAATAAATCGTCAATGAGATAAATCCAGGTTTCCTCAGAACATCTCTGTGTCCCATGAAATGTAGCCTCCTATTGAGAGTTCCTTCTGTGAGGAACTTGCCAAAAGCTAGGTAGACCTTTGGAACACTTTTTGTTGGCTACAGGTTCATACACACATCCATGTTAATCAATTGTGACCTGGGGAAAAGGAATGTGCTTACAGATGGGGTGAACTCATGGGCTTTGTTTCAACCTTTGGCCATGCATTCTCCAGCTCGTGATGAAAATTATGTAAAGAAAATAACTGGTTGTTCAAATATTTAAGGAATTGTTGCCTGTTCACATCCTTTTGTGCATTTGAAATAATTCTTTACAGAAACTGCAAATGTTACATTGTAGTTGGGATTTGTGGTGTATAAAGTTGTGCTATTTTGGTATTTTTTTTAAGTTCAATTAAACTCAGACATGGCTAGTTTTGCATCAATCTTTTCCTTGTATGCAGTTTTTCACATTGTCAAGTATCAGGTTAGTTTTGTAGTCAGCCAAGAGACCATGCTTGGATGTGCAGATTGAATATTTGCTTATTTGATGAATTTCATTAGGTACAACATGTGTATGTGCAGACTGATTTTGAGAGTATGATACAGAGGGGGAAAAAAAAATCGGAATCCCACGACTCCCTTTTTTCTGCATGAATTAGATCCTGTATAAAAGTAATTAATTCTCTTACGGGTTTATGCGACTATTCAAACATTGCCTCCCTTTCATTCTTTGCAAGTGCAAATGAGCTAGATAGGGAAATGCATAAACATGGCAAATTGCTTATGAAACAAAACATTACCCAGAATTAGAGAGAGCTGGGAGGCTTCAGTAACTCCAGCAATTAGCCTGTAGAGGACACAGTTAATAGGCACATTCTGTCACAGTCAGGTGGTACTTGTTCCAGATTTTGTTTGCCCTTTAATATATCTTTTTATTTTTTTTCCAACAAGAATCAAAAACCAGGACTTGTTATAATTATCATGTAGTGATTGGTTTTCTCATCTATCCATCTTTCTGGTGTTTGAGGCATTTTAAGTGACCCACACACGGTGATGTTGTAGCATGAATGGTGGAAACCACTACATGGCTATTTTAGTCTCTGGCAAGCCAGAAGGAAGGAAGAGGAGATGAACACTCACAGCGTGGGTGTTTGTGTGTGCCTGGTTATCTGAGTGTGGGAGTAGGTGTGACAGAGCAAGAGATATATTAACATGCTTGATTATATTTCATTCCACTCGTTTTGCTGCTTTATTCAGGACTGTGTTAGAAAGAGCTGCCTGAGAAAACTTGGATAATGCAAAAATTAGCTTGTAAGAGTAAAGGACAGACAAAGAAAGGTCTCGTTGGAGAGTATCTACAAAGCTGTGAACAGCTCTAGCAATAATCACAGACTCATCGTGAAGGGAAAGGAAGTTGGAGAACATCTTCCTAGTGTAACTGGTGATATCCTTGCTCTGCTGGTTAATTTAGAAATGACTGCTGTGGCCAGGTTACTGAATTTAGGTGGATAGTTTCTACATGCAGTAATTGTGTTTTAACTCATTTCAGTGCACATGTTGAAAACAGGGCTATCAGGGCTTGAACCTGGCAGAAGAGTTCTGGAAAGTGTGAAGTGTGGAATTGATTCCAACTTTCCACAACGGAAGGACACGCAATATGTAAATAACCTTTTTTTTTTTTTTTTTTTTTTTTGTGGAAGATATAAGATAAGAAATGGTCTCAGTAACAGCTTCTTGTGCCAAGAAGGTTTCTGTTTTCCAAGAATCCATGCTGTAACTGGGAAGGAAGTGAGAAACTTGATGAGTATTTGCTGTCTTCTTCCTGCTCGAGGGGAGCTGAGACACAGCTCTTCATCATGAGTCAGGCACCAGCAGTTTGCCAACTAAGCCTTTCTGTTCTTAAGAGCCTGGCAGTTTAGAGAGTGAAGAGCTATTTCTGCTACTGGGAGAGGACTTGGGGAAGTGTTTATGAGAGCTGCTAACAGCTAATTTACAAATTGCAGCTCTTATTTGAGATTGTTGTACTTTAACATCCATTCAAGCATCTTTCTTAGCCAGGACCAAACACCAGGAGCAAAATCCCAGTGTCTGAGCTGCAGCTGAGCTCAGTGGAAGAGCCATGAGCCAGGATGTGTGTGGGTGAACAGTACACAAATCCTGACTTTTTTGCATGGGAGGGGAATTTGTCCATTTACCTCATCCTTTATGTGCAAAGAACTTCAGCTATCTCAGTGGCTCTGACAGATGTTAGGAAGCAGTTGGCTGAGAGCAACGCTTACCCCTGAAAGCAGATATTAGAGGCTCTGGAGTTCCACAAAACCCCTCAGAATATAAGGCCTTTTGTTTTCCCAGATACCCAGAAATCCTCATCCTGGAGTTGTTTGTGGAGTCAGGACAGGGAGGCATGAAAGACAATTCCTTTTTTTCCCTAGTTCCTGGCCTTTTACCAGGACTTTATCAGCACTGTGCCAGAACTGCAGCCCTGAGTGGAGCATGAATTCTCCCTGGCCTCCCAATCAGCACGACAAGGCAGCAAATGGGTGCTGGTGACACTTGCTGTCATGGACAGTCTTTTATTGCTTTTATTTTATTACCAGTAATTGAAAGGTCAGCCAAATTTTTCTTAGACAATTAAATGACATTTACAGAGAGGAGATTGAGAGGAGCCAGAGATGCTTTTCTAAGTGATGCTGCCCAGCTATTCGGATGTGTCACTACAGCCAGTGTGTAAAGCACCAGGATGGATGTTTTTAAGGGTTGTGCTGTATGGGGTACATTGAGAAAAATTAATTCTGAGGTACTTTCCCAGTAATCTGAGGGTTTTATCTGGGCAGGTGTTAGTTCACACAGCCCAGTTTGACAAAGCACAATTGTCTTGAAGGCCAAAAGACCAATTTGAGTTAAAGGTTATGTCTGAAAAACAGAAAATCACAAATGAGAGTAGGGGAGCCCGTGCAGAAATCTGAGGCAGAGGAAGGACAGAGTAGGTTGCCACGAGGCTGATGACAGAGAACCAAACCATCAAGGCTCGTGCACTGAGTCATGGGCTCACACAAGTGCCACACATCCCATCCTTACCTTCCAAGGGCTGGGAGAGGTGTGTCCCATCCCTGCCTCAGGAGGCTGGGGCAGAGGGGAAGGTGGTGCAAGCTGCAGAGGGTCCTTTCTACAGAGCCAGGACCTTCTGTGGCACCTCATCAGGTGGCAGCACCAAGCAGGCCCACAGGATAAATGTCCTCAGTGTGTCAGTTCTGTGCATCCCAGCATGTGATGGATCATCATGTTGTTTCATGTGCTGCTAAAGAAAACACTCGAGTGACCTGTTGTTTACTTAAATATTTATATAGTGATTCAGAGTGCAGGATCTGTTACAGCTCGTTCTGGCATACAAAAATGATCTAAATCCAGCTGGGCAGCAGAGGACTGCTCCAGGGTGGTTTTGGATGTTTGTAGCTGCTATAGGTTTTGCAAGGAGTGTGAGTAGAGAAAAATAATGGATGTGGTTAGAACATCTCTTCATCCTGCTGTCTCCTGAGGACAGAAAGATTTATTGGGGTTGTGGCTCCTACACAATTAGAGTGGCTCTCTGGAAGTGCTCCTCTGGAGGAAGAGCTTCCTACAATTGTATCATGCACCCCTCTGCATTTCAGCGACTTCAAAGCAAGGTGGTCAGGAATATTCCTGTGAATATCTGACATGGAAAGAGGATACAAATTTCTGTTGTTGAATCAACTCTTAAACAGCAGCTGCATTATTCATGTGTGGATGGTGGTTTGGTGTTCCAGCTCAAGGGAATGAAGCCAGAAAAGGAAAGGGGAATTAACAGACTCGTTTGGGTTCTTAGTTATGTGCTGCTTTAGCTGGTTCATTGTACAGGCTGTAATTTGAGGGTTTGAGGTCTTTGTGAAGTGCTTTTTTGAAAAAAAATTTAAACTGAAAAAATTTGACCTTGGGATGAACCTGAATCTCATACCAGGAAACCTCACACGGAAGGGAAATGCATGCCTGGATCTGAGCTCACCTTTTGGCAGAGCATTCCTGCAAACAGGAATGTGAGCCTTGTGGTGCCACTTCAGCCTTATGAGTTCGCACCAAGCAATGATGTGGATCAAAACTCTGAGAAAACACAGGTGACATATCCAGAATCTTTGTAAAGACTGTTCCAAGTGAGATATTTACTGGAAGCACGTGGGTGAAGCTATCACCTTTGTGACATGGTTCAGCAACACAGCAATTGCAGATGCAGAGGTGCTCCACATGAAGCCTTTTCTTTACAGTCTGGGCTGTTGTTGTGGCCCAGGCTTAGGAGAGGAATTACCTCAGCAGAAAATGGAGATAATGGAATGCTTTATGCCAAAAGGGAATGTAGAGGAAGAGCTACAATGGATGGAAAGTGGAGTCAGCAGCCTGAGATAACACGAATGATGGGCAGGACAGGCAGCAGCCTGGGATCACAGCGGCGCTTTGCTGATGGGAGTGTGTGCTTTTACTTGGAACAGGGTTATTCAGCCTTTGCTGCTATTTCAGCATGATTTGAGATGTAGACACAGTGCGATTCTGTCCTTATGATCTGTGCTTTGTCAGGTGCTCCAGCCTGATATCAGATTGTGGGATATTAAGAGAGAAGGAGGGGATGTTAGGAAAGCTGTACAAATGCATTCACATACTGAACCTCCTATGCCTGGAGTAGCCAAATTTGCTTCAGTATGTAGAATCTTTTTTTCTCATAACACTGTGAGAGGGTTTGGAGTTTCACAGTAACTGCTTTGTTTGGTCCATCTAGTCAAGCTAACCCAGGATCACAAGCTGCTACTAGAACTGCAAGTTTTCCTTTCTTGCTTTTTCTCAAGTTTAAACCCCAAGACAGTATTTCCACAGGAGAGGAACAAGTAAAGCAGGGCCCTGTCACTGGTGAGGGGTGTGAAGAGGGAAATTAACCCTGGATGGCAGAAGAAAGCAGAAAAGTGTGGCTATCCCAAAGCAATCCAACTTTTTAGCAATCTTTCCCTAACATTTGGTGACCAGAATAACCTTGGACCCATAAGCAAGGCATGTCATTGGATCCACCAAGGACATTCTTGGTGTCAAAGAGAAGACATGGAGCTCCTGGCTCAGTGCTTTGGAGGGAGGTAGAACACCTCCAGCAATGGAACTGTGCTGACTGACATATCTAGGGGGGAAAAAAATCCTCTTACATTTATGGGTAAATAAATGCTGCAAGGCACAGAATCTGATCATAATGATTGTCTTAGGGTAGAGCTGTACCTTCCATGAATATGTCCCATGGTGGAAGTGACACTGAATCTCTCCCAAATATTTTAATTGGCCCTGTGGAGACCAGAGCTTTTTGAGTCACATCTTGCTCCCCCTACATGTGCCCACAAGCAAAGACTCTCACAAACACTGAAGTAGAGCATCCTAGAAAGATGTGGAATCTTGCCAT